TGTGCAAGCAGTAATAAAGATACTTTTACTCCACTTGCTCATCGTACCTTCAGATATTACACGTAATTGCATTGTTTATGAGTGTGGTTTAGATCGACTGATTGCCTGATCTTATTGTGTTTCGTGATATTGCGCACAGAGAAGTGTGTTAGTGGCATATTGAATTATCGTGTGATTATCCTAAACTTATTTAGACCGATTTGCGCATTGTTCTGCGCAGACCGCGACAATATATAATAAAATTTACACTTATTCTAGTGATTTTATTAAAAAAAACGAAATTAAAAAATACGGGTCTTTAATATTTTGAGATTTAATATTACTTTGGAAGCTCAGGACTATAAGTATATATATATATAACCTAACATGATTTTAATTAATTAATTAATTATAATTATATTAACTATTTTAATTATTGTTTAAAGAGGTACTGTATTTTGATATGAAATCCATGGATTTCGTTGTCGTAAAAGTTTTAACAAAAGCAGTGAATACGGTTTTAAATGTTTTATAGATCAGCTTCAGGATGTAGCATTTATTATCCATCTATCTATTAATTTATTCTTCTATATATTTATTTATTTGTTTAAAAGAATAATAAATTATTTCCAAAGAATTATTTCTTTTCTCGTTATCTTTCTGTTATCAGGAAGATCGGGAGGCACCCTAGTGGACACTTGATTTTGTAGGCTTAAATATTAGAAATTTTGAGGATATCGAAGCGGCCATCGTTCATAATACGACTAATTATTATAAACTCGTTTCTGCAACAATGTTTATCTTATTTTATTCTGGTAATTTGTATGTCAAAAAATGTGCAGTGGGTGGAGTTAATATACAAGAGTATCTTCAATACCATTTTCATAATGCTTATAAAAAATAGTCGGAGAAGATTGTGAAGCCAAATATGATACAATTAATGAACCGAGTTGGGGATAAGTGAGTATTAGTGATTTAAATAAAATTCCCGAATTTCAAGAATATTGAAGAGGAAAAACTCCAACGCTTTTTCAAATAATGTTTTTGAGTGAAGGAATACCTTGTCATTTACAAGTTTGGGATATTGGATGGTGAAGAGCTTAGTATTTATTCACCCAACAAAAAATACATTCAATGATGATGTCTTCTTCTACAACAACAACAACAACAACAAACAATGTCAATAGCAATAATAATGATAATAATAACAATAAACATCAATTATAGGATTTAATCGAGGATTAGATATAGGTGGTCGAGCTTTAGAACCTTTACTACAACCATTCCCAATTAAAACTTGTGGGGAACCCAAACGTTTAACCTTTAATCCTTACAAAAAATTTTTCGAATATAGATTTACGAACCCAAAAACAATACTCCGACCGAAATCTACTTACCCTGGTATCATTTCGATGATACCGAAGATTTTAATGTTTATCATAGTAGTGGGAAATGGAAATGGGATATGGATTCTCAATTATTATTATATTGGCATGACATCGGTGATTCCGGGGATGATGAGTATTATGATGATTATTATGATTATAAAGAAACTTTATTTGAACATAAAATTATTGTAGAAAATTCCAGGAGATTTATAAAGAAATGGTTGGGAGGATTGTTGTTAATTTTATCAAAAAAAAATTTCTGTATTATTATTATTATACTTATTCTTATTATTAAATAAAAATATTTATTTATTTGATATTTAATGTTACGTTCTATTGCGGGACATTAAGTTGTCCTTAAAACCGATCGTCTGACTATCTGATATATTCAAAGTTCCGTCCCGTGTACAATATTTTTAATCAATCATACATTATATATCAATTGTGTAATTATTACGTAATTAAAATCAAAAAAAAAATGATTTTTCGGGGTGCATAATATACTGTAAATATAGGATTTGAGATTATCACCTCGCTATGTTTTTATATTGGATGCATACCGAACAAGAAGCTCATAAAATACTGTATAAATTTGAGAATTGACAAGAATCTTCTGAGTGGTATAAAAGTTGAAATCTGCAACAAGGACAGAAAAAAAAAGAAGGAAACAAAAGGAATGGAAATTATAAAATTGTTTATTATATGCTTTTATTTGAAACTTTTATATACTTTTATATTTTACACTTTATATTGAAACTTTTTATGTACTTATCGCAATTCTATTTATAACTTTGTATAATATTATGTTTAATTATTTAATTAGATACAAATATTTTTAATTAAAAAAGTTTTTATGTACTTATTTAAAAATGGCAGCAGCAAAGAGATAAAGCAAAAGGAATTGGGCTTCTTGTTTCCAAATCTACAAGAATAAGACATTGAAAGATTGGTTAGGTTCAAGTTCTCACTCCGATTTCAGTTCATTATTTGTTTCATGAATCTTTGATTATAGATATTGAAATAATGAATTATATATTAGACTGAAATAACTTATAATGTATTGATTGTAGTCATAACCAGCTCAACTATGACATTCACAAAACGATTGGTAGTTTATAAAAATAAAAATATTAAAATAATCTTATCAGTTATTGTTGATAAAATTAATTTAAGCATGTATCAAAAAAAAAAAAGGAGTGAATACAGTACAGTGGTTCAATAGTAATAAAAAAATGATTTTGACTTACACATCACGAATGCCGTGATTACAACTTGAAGTAAAATTCTTTTGGTTCAATAATTAAATTTGGATACAATAATAGATAATTTTTTCAGATCCCAATTAATCAGAACTAATCATTAATTCCTAAATAGTATCTGTATTAAATATATTATTCATTAAATTTATTATCGATTTGTATTTATAATTACTTTCGAAAAATTATGGGCACGGGATTAAGAATAATGGAATAATTTTAATTTTACATAATTAATTGATTATTTGAATTAATTGCTAAGATTTATTTCAAATCAAGGTATTTTAATAAACATGTGTTAGTTCAATACTATTAATTTCATGATTATGTGTATATCAAAATACAAAATTATTTAAAAACTTTATCATAAAATAAAAAAAATGACATATTCATTGTACATTTGGAGTTTGAAATTATTATTTTTTAACAATCTTAAATACTTCATAATCTACAACAGAAAATCTTTCATCAGTTGTTCTAATGATTTCTTCATAATAATTACGATAACTACGAACACACAAACATCGTCTATCTCGAGTAAAATCAGAAATATTTGATTGCAAAAAGAATTCGAAATTTCCAAAACATGGACCACGGGCATTTTGATCAGAGCCAAAATAAATCAGAGCACGACTATTATTTTTAACTCTGCTGATAATTGAATTTTGAATATTCCCATTTTTCAATGAAAATATAAAGCTATCATTTGTACTTATAACAGTACCAAACCTTTCAGCTTTTGAATTATCCCAAGCTAATGGATTATAACCTCCAAGTATTTCATCAGTTCTCGCAACTTTAGCAATCACTACTGTCCCAGCATGTCCATTACACATATTCCAAAATGTTTTTGGTTGAAAACCATCTTTACTTCCTCGAAGAATTAATTGAAGTTTATATGGTACATTTGCTAAAGAGTAAATAGTTGATTTACGATCAATCCATGATGAAATTTCTACTAAATGTTCTTCGTTGATTATGGTCGAGATTGGTTCATTTATTCTTTGAGGTAATTCAGGATTTGAAATAATTCTTGCAGGTAAAACAAGAGATTTAACTGGTTGATTTGGAAATGCGCGTTGTTGGTATAAATCATCCCAAAGCTGCGTACCAATAATTTTTCTATAAGGTTTTAATTTCTCCCAAATATCTTTCTCAGAAATATGAAAATATCGAATAAGAGGTAAACATTGTTGTAGAGTTGTTTTTAAAGTCTTGAAATTTTCTTTAGACCATTCTTCCAAATTTGTAGGCAAAATAGGATTTTGCGCAATTCCCCATTTGATAACATAATCCCAAATTTTAATTTCTTCTAATTGGAGGTTATCCTTTTCCAAAATAGAAATTAATGCTGATTCTTGGAGTGAAGTGAAATCTTCAGATTCAAAAATTAAATTTGGATATTTGGTAATAATATCATTATAAAATTGTTACAAACCTTTAAATTCATTACACTTATTACTATCAAATATTGAATGATAAACACGGGAGAAATGAGTTTTTAACCAAGAAGCTTTAGATTCGACAAGGTAACTTTCTAATTTCTTTGATAGTTCCTCAAATTCTAATTCATTAGCAACAATCATTAATTCATAAATGATTTTGGCTTCTGTATTTTCAATGTTAACAACTCCACCATAGATATATCTACATTTACAATAAAATATATTTATTTTAAATCATCTTGTATCGAAATACTAAATACATACTTATAAAATATTGTTAATTAAAGTAATAAATAAATTTCTTTAACTTACTTAAGAATAATTTCGAATATTTGGGCAGTAATATTTGGTTTGATAATAGTTTTGACATGATTTTCATTCGTAATAGTGTTTTCCAACTCTCTAGTGAAGTAGGTTGAACGATAATGCAGGACAACCGAGTGCGAAGTAAAAGATTTCTTGTTTCCTTCTTTATCAACTTCAATGACAACATTGTATTCTTTTTTATCATTGAGAAGTTCCGAAATATTATTAGATAATTTGTCAAAAAATTTAAAGGACATTTTTATTATTATATTATTAATTTTGGTATTTAAGATTTAAAACTTCAATGCCGCAAAATCGGAGTTTTTATGAACCTCCGTTGTGCACGTTGTACAGAGCTTAAATAGTCGCTTAAAAAATATTTTATTTATATATTAAAGTTTGCCACATGACATGCTACAGATTGTTTATCGTTATTAAAACAAAAATCATGTATGATTTGTGAATATGGAAAAAATAAAATTACAGTTTGATGATTGATATTCTTCTTTTTTCTTAATTTTTATTTAATATTCTTTATTATTCATTAGTAACATTTATTAAAGATATTAATAAATTTTTATTTAAAATTCCAACCCGTGTACTCTTGCATGTATATGAATTTTAAACATTTCGCCCATACGAGTACCAAGGCAAAGAAATTTGGGTTTGTCTAGTTCAATATGTATTTTTTAATAAAAATAATGTTATCAAAATGAAATTTACAAATTATTATCAAGGAAATAATGTCTAGTTTAATTTTAAGCAATTTTTTGACACAAAATTTAGCGAAGCGTAAATTGAAAAAGGAGATGAAGGCAGCCTTTAAATATTCAAATTTTCATTACACATGTACCCTATAAAAAATAAATGTCCAGAAATTTGTACACTACATTTTCAATGTATCTATTGAATGTAATAAATTATGAGTCATATTTTGTGTACATTACATTTTATTATTTATTCATAATCTGCATTCATTAACCCTAAATGAAATCCGAAAAATCTAAATAAATATATTTTTGGTTTATTACCATATGTTTCTCCAGAGTTTAGGTGGAGAGGAATATGCAAAAGCTGCTGAGATATATTCTTTTGGTATAATAACTACGAAATATTCCCCCATTGCACGATAAAATCGTTTCGTCCAATCTATTTTACGTACTCAATCTCTATGGAATTTTAACAAAAATTGAAAAACCCCGAATTTGGTCTGGTGTAAATCTTCTATTTCGATCTCGATCCGTTCATCCCAAAAGCTATAACTTTTATTCAACCCTCAGTACTTGAACCACCTCCAAGATTCGATGAATTAGAAAATAAATCAATATTTATTCACCTCATTGATTGTAGAAAAAATATATGGTCCAAAGTTTAAATTCAAGGAACATTTATCTTTAATATGGCAAGATTATCATATAACGATAAACCAAATATTTATTTTATGAAAAATCCATTGTGATGGTCTTATTTGTACTTTTGTTTAATTAGAAAAATTATGTGAACACGTTTTTATATTTATTATTTGGTGCACAAGATAAAATGTTTTTCGAAACGAGTTATAAATACACTTTTCTAAATTTAATGCGTAGAATTGACATTTTTCCCAGCCCTGTCTTAGAAATAGGAATTATTCTATTTTTTTTAAAAAGAAAATATTTTTGATAAATATACTTCTGATCTTTCATCAGAATTTGAGTTTT